ATACTTTTTCAAAATGTTCTACTATATGACTGATTCAATAAATGCAACAAGAGAGCAGAATCTTTCCTATCCAACAGCTGCTGTGTCTGATCTGCTGATTTAACACGATCTGCTGGAATCTGTGCCATCAGCCCATCGGGGATTAAATGTGGACAAAAGAGTGTTTATACCACAGTCAAGACAAACAAAAGTCTCTGGCACAGAATTCAATGTTCTCTTCAGCTCAGTTTGTTGTGACTGAGAGATTGATTTCAGCAATCCAGGCTCATTGCAGAAATGTGCCCAGGGATACATTTTTGAGAACCTAGAAATACAGTTAAAGTCAGAATTATTCGCCCCCTTTATGTTTTTTTCTTCTTTTTAAAATATTTTCCAAATGATGTTTAACAGAGCAAGGAAAATTTTACAGTATGTCTGATAATATTTTTTCTTCTGGAGAAAGTTTTATTTGTTTTATTTCTGCTAGAATAAAAGCAGTTTTTAATTTTTTTAACAGCATTTTAGGGACAACATTATTAGCCCCTTTAAGCTATATTTTTTCTTGATAGTCTACAGAACAAACCATCATTATACAATAACTTGCCTAATTACCCTAACCTGCCTAGTTAACCTAATTAACCTAGTTAAGCCTTTAAATGTCACTATAAGCTGTATAGAACTGTCTTAAAAATATCTAGTAAAATGTTATGTACTGTCATCATAATAAAAATAAAATAAATCAATCATTAGAAATTATTTAATAAAGCTATTATGTTTAGAAATGTGCTGAAATAATCTGTTCTCCATTAAACAAAAATTGGGGGGAAAAAAAATAAACAAGCAGTCTATTAATTCTGGGGGGCTAATAATTCTGACTTCAACTGCATGTAGACTTACATGTGTTTGTAGCTTTTGCTTTCACAAATCTACTAGAGGGCGCCGTGTACACTTTTGACAATCTCAAATAATGTACTAGGGCACGTTTTCTTATATGTGCCATTACTTGTCAATCGGGGCTGCACGATACTGGAAAAATATGCCATATTGTTGATGAGTATTGCGATGATATTTATTAAGACATTACATTTCCCTAGAAAAATGTTATTTTTATAGCAGTATTTACTGATATTAAAATAAACAGGTCAAATATATGTTTCAGATCTAATTAATTCTAATTCAGACAAAAAACTGTGTCAATGTGCAAACAGGGGTCACCAATCTCGGTCCTGGAGGGCCGGTGTCCCTCTAGGGTTTAGCTCCAACTTGCCTCAACATACCAGCCTGGATGTTTCAAGTATACCTAGTAAGACCTTGATTAGCTTGCTCAGGTGTGTTTGATTAGGGTTGGAGCGAAAATCTGCAGGACACCGGGGGGCCCTCCAGGAACAAGTTTGGTGACCCCTGATTTTGACTTTTAAACACTGTAAGTGAAAACCTCAGCAGATATTCTGACTCTGATTGGCTGTTGTTATTTTCTTCACTCATTTCAACTCCACACACTACTGTATATTTTCAGCTCTTTGAGCCGTTCCAGCCAATAACAGAACAGCAATTACTTGAGGGGCGGGGCTAAAGATAGTACGGCCCCATCTGATTGGTCAATTTTTTAAATAACCAAAGCATAAAATGAATGTAATTTATTTTACATATGTCTGTGATATTTATATTGTATACACTACCATTATAACAAAACTTTTCTGATGGCAAAATTTTCACAAAAGCCTGCAGCCCTAACTAAGAGGATAAATATGTTTTCTTGTGATATTATTGTCATCTTAAGACAATATAATGATTATATAAAGATTTTACATTGTTGTTAAAAAGCAAATCTTATTATTATGAGCAAATCAAAATTATTATTAGCCTTCTTGTGAAATTTTTGTATCATATATATATATATATTGTAGCGAGCGATTACATGCCACGTCGCCCTGGTCGCTAATTTCACCCAGCTGGACCATCATCAAGCCAGGATCGCTCACAGCTGGACGGCATCAAGCGGAGAGACATATAAGCCCAACCTACGCCAGGAGAAGATGAGCTTCATTCTGTCTATGACTCCCTGTGCTAATGCTTGTCTCTTTGTCTCTCCGTAGCGGACTCCAGCTCGTGATGATCCTTCACCCGACTACTCACTGTCCTTCACCTACTTCCCGGAGCACCAGAGCACCTCACCTTGAAGAAGAGCACCTTTTACACAACGCACACTTTGTAAATAAAGCACCCCTCCGGGGACTTGTCTGTAAACTCAACATGTTGTGCCGCTGTTTTCCCTCTGCCTCGCTACAACTGGTGGAGAATGCGCGCTTTTTCAGAGGGGAAAAAATTCAGCACTTACCAGTAAGAAGAAGTAACCACTGAATTTTCTCTGTTTTTTTCTTCTGTTTACAGACAGGCATCCGCTCTCTCTCTCTCACTCACGCTCTCTTACTCGGCTGTCATCCCCTCCTGAGTCATGTCGATCGAAGAGGTAGTACGCCATCTAGCGGAAATCTCAAGAAGACAACAAGTGATAACTGAA